TTTAAAAGAGAGTACTGCAATATTCTTTCAAACATTCCCCTGGTATTCATATGACAGCTGAGCAAACACATTTTAAAATTAGTTACCCTATGTTCGATTTGTGAACTCCTAACTTTCACATTTCTTCCTACTTTTTTTTTGAGACAGGGTCTCACTATGTTGCCCAAGCTGGTCTCAAACTCCCAGGCTCAAGCAATCCTCTCATTTCAGCCTCCTAAGTAGCTGGGACCACAGGCACGCATCACTATACCCAGCAATTTTTTTTTTTTTTTTGAGGCAGAGATTCGCTCTGTTGCCAGGTGCCAGGCTGGAGTGCAGTGGCGCGATCTCGGCTCACTGCAACCTCCGCCTCCCAGGTTCAAGCGATTCGCCTGCCTCAGTCTCCCAAGTAGCTGGGGCTACAGGTGCACACCACCATGGCCAGCTAATTTCTGTATTTTTAGTAGAGACGGGGTTTCACCATGTTGGCCAGGATGGTCTCGATCTCTTGACCCCGTGATCTGCCTGCCTCAGCCTCCCAAAGTGCTGGGATTACAGGCGTGAGCCATGGTGCCTGACCCCTAGCAACTTCAAAAAATTTTTTTTGGTAGAGACGTAGGTTTCACTGTGTTGCTCCAATGGGTCTCGAACTCCTGAGCTTAAGTGACGCCTCACCTTGGCCTCCCAAAGTGCTGGGATTATAGGCACAAGCCACCATGGCTGGCCTCTCTTCCTGTTTTGTTAAAAATAAATATATTTGTTACACATATACCAGAAAATAATGGCTTACTATGTAGTCCCATGTAAGAATAATTGCCCCACGTCTGCTTCTAATTAGCCATGTAATATTATATTCTCCATCTTTATGAGAATTGCCATGTTATTAATTTGTCAGTTTGTTTTATTGTATAAGCATGCAAGGATATTCTTGAACAAAAGCCAGGAACATATAGAACCAGCCAAGAAAGACCTTAAATTAATTTGTGGTAAATTAGTTGCTGATTATGCTAATTTTTAGTTTTGTTTTCTCAAAGAAGTGTTAATTATTTGCCATCAAATTATAGGGTAACTCTGCAATGTATTTACTAAGAAAGGTTATTTTTCTTTCCTCGTAATAATAAAGGGTAACAACATAATCACATAATCACACAACAACATAATAACAACAGGCAAAACACTAGCAGCAAAGAGTTAAGTAAGGATTTCATTTACGTAAGGAGTTCAGTGGTAGTGGAGATTTAGTCGCCAAAAACGTCTTGTTTACAGCTTTGGTTTCCCTAATTCTGTCAGCTTTGAGTCAGGGTCTTTGGGTGGGACAGTCTGAGATACAGATTTCCTGGCAAGTTTGACATGACTTAAAAAGCTTCAGTGTTGACCCGTGATTAGTCCTGGGCCACCTAGGATTTGGATGCCACCTATTTGTGCAGTTATTGCTGAGCTAAAAAAAACCTTGCATTTGTCTTCACATTTGGGTTTTCCAAAGAGGTGAAACTGACCTGATGAAATACAGTAAAATTCAAGAAAGACATGGTCTTTGAATAGACACTGTCACCCAGAAATGCGCCACTGCCCCTCCAAAAAAAAAAAAAAAAAAGCCTTCTAAGCATTGCCACACCACAGAGCTGAGCCAGGACCAGCATCTGATGGGCTCCTGGTAGACCAGTAGGCTGTGGCTCTCTGTGTACCTGTCACTGGGAGAGAGCATGTTGAGA